GATCCGGATCCCCCAGCTGCCCCCCATACCCAGCGGGGTGATTCCGTAGAACTCGGCTTCATGCAGCAGCAGGGAGATGTTGACGCCCCTGGACAGACACAGGAACAGTCAGGGCGTCCCCAGCAGGGCCCGGCGGCCGGGCAGAGCCCCCCTGGCCCCCAGCGCACGGCAAGGCCTGATCTGCCTGGAGCTTCCACCGCCCCTGGCAGCCTGGGGCACAGGCCAGGACCCCACCCTGGCACTGCTGGCAGGCCTGACCCAGGCTGGGAAGACCCCCACTTGCAGGCACTGTTGAAGGGCCGAGGTGGGAATGCCCCACAGCCCAGCCCAAGGATCTGCTGCCCCTAGCCCTGGGGCTGAGGTGGCCCCGTGGCCCTGGCCAGGTGCCAGCGCCCACTGCCCCATACCTGGGGTCGAGCTCCTTGGTGCGCAGGAAGTTGAGAATTGGCGCGAAGACGGTGGGGTCTCGGTCGATGAAGATCTGGGGGGACAGAGAGTGGGTCAGGGGCGACTCTCCCACAGAGCAGCCAGGTCACCTGGCGGCAGCAGCAGCGCATACGGGGCAGGGCTAGGGAGCGCTGTGGGGCAGGCAGGGGATCAGCAGGGGCGTGGCCCCAGCAGGCAGGGCTGGCCCCCCAGGGTGGCGCTAGGGGGTGCTGTGGGGCAGGGAGCAGGCAGGGGCTCAGCAGGGGGTGCTCTCTCCAGCCGGCAGGGCTGGCCCCAGGGCTGTGCTAGGAGGTACTGGGGGGCACGGAGTGGGGCAGGGGCTCGGCATGAGATGCTCTGCCCTGCAGTCGGCGCTGGCCTTTGGAAACACGGGGCTGCTCCGGAGCTCTGTGTAGACAAGGGCTCCCCACGCCGCACCCCAGGACTCACTCACCGCTCCGGTCTCATCCTTCAGGGTGGAGATGCGGCCGCTCAGGAGGCTGGAGCAGAGAGAGAGGGAGGTCGCTGTGGTGAGCCCCCGCGTAGCAGCCCCTCCAGGCCCTGCTCCGCACCAGGCCCCCAGGCACCGGGAGTCCGCACGGACCCCACCCAGGAGAACCCCAGACTCTGCTGCTCAAGCATCACCAGCTCCGGGCAGGGCACAGCCTAGCAGCCAGACGGGGCCAGAGCCAAGGTCCAGCCTGCGGAGGGCGGTTAGCGAGTGATCCTCCCCTGGGGGCCAGTCCCAGCTTGACAGGTAGAGGGGTAGGGATACCCAGAGCTTGGGGCTGCCCCCAGACCTGCCCTCCAGCAGCTTCTCTAGCTCTTTTTGGAGCCTAGTGATACTCCTGGTCTCCATGTCATCCTGTGGCAGGGAGTTCCGCAGACTGGCCTTGTGTTTGTCTCACACCTGCTGCCTACTCACAGCACTGGGTGACCCCAGCTTGTGTGTTACGGGACGAAGTAAACAACCCGTCCTGAGTCGCTCTCCACCCCAGTCGTGTCTGTGGGCCCCCCGTGTCCACCCCTCCTTCCACTCTTTTCTGAGCAGCCCTGCCCCGCTCTCGCTAACCTCTCCTCCCACAGCTGCTCTTCCTCCCCAGCCACGTCTGTCACCCTTTTCGGGACCTTTGCCTATTCCCAGGGCTCTTTCTGAGCTGGGCGATCGCACCCAGCGCTCGAGACTGGACATTTTGACAGGCCATTTTCAGTCATATTATTGCTCCCTTTCCAAGTGGCTCCTAATGCCCGTCAGCTTTTCTAGCCGGCAGTATGCCAGAAAAGTGGTTCCGGAGAGCTAGCCACCAGGCCCCCCCCAAATCTCATGTGGTAACAGCTAATTTGGGCCCCCCTGGTTTTGTCTGAAGGGCTGGTATTGAGGTTTTGCTCCCCCACACTCCGGACCCGTCCCTTGTATTGGCTCAGAGCAGACTGGTTCCTGGGGAACAGACCAGGCTGGGCCAGACGGGACCAGCGAGGTGCCCTGATGAGGGGCGGTGGGGCACAGACCAGCTCCACGGCTGGGGGGGCACTAAAGCCTCGCCCAGCCCCACAGAGCAGCAGGCAGGCTCGGGGCTGAAAAGCCTGCCTGGCCAGAGGCTTCCCCCCGAACCCAGAGCCAGGGAGCAGTGGGGCTGCACCGCCCGCCCCGGGCCACTCCTCCGCCATCACCTGGAGAAGAAGGAGTCCGAGATCCACGTCAGGGTCTGCCGGGAGGTGCTGAACCTGCAACGCAAGGGCAGGGTGAGCCCGTGGGGCCTGGTACTGGGGGGGGCAGGGGCTCAGGGACGCTCAAAAGTCCTGAGGGCCAGGACTGGGGGTCCCCAGGGGCAGGGCTCAAAGGGGAAAGGGGGGGCAGC